GAGGACCATCCTATACCTTATCGTGATATAGGAAGCTAACTTTACTAAGTGGATCCACTAGCTTAACTTTACGGGTTCTACTAAAAAGTATGACCCGTTACCGCCCATGTTGGCTACATGGTTCTTATGGAGAGTTGAGTTTAATATGAACTCGCGTCCCCAAATCGGTGCTCGATACTACTTCAAAAATACTTTAGCTCATAAATGTTTTAAACACATCTTTCTTTAGTTGAGAAAATTACTCAAAATCTAGCCCAAAGGCTCACTTGGAAACGATGTTCCTTTTTCTTGAAAACTAGCCCAAAGGCTCTTTTGGAAATCATAGTCCCTTTCTTACTCAAATGTAAAAACATTTAGAAACTTCTTTGGGAATACATAGTTCCCTAATAGCTTTTGAGAATGAACTCAACTTTAAACTCTTGACTCATCTTGAAACTTGAGACCTCTTTTTTAGCTTGAAACTCTAAGCTCTTTACTTGACTTGAAACTTGAGTCTTAAATTGAAGTTAAAACGTTCAATAAAGACTCTTGAACAACCTTAAGAACTTGCTTGACTTACTTCTTAACTCTTGAACTTAACTCTTGACTTCTAACTAACTCTCTTTGAATTGGATTTATGGATTCAAGGTGTTTGATCACATGTTACGGATGAGTTCGGGAGGTTTAAATGTACCTTAAAGTGTTGGGAACAACCATACAACATAGGTACAATACGAAGGAACATGTATGGGAAGGTATGAAATGAAAGGGAGCACTTGGTGTCCTTGGCGCTCTGCAAGGTATGGAGCACCAGCCCCAAAACATCAGAGGGGGCCTGCTGGCGCTCTGAGAGGCGCGCCGCCCCAAGGGACCTACCTTTATAGGCTATTCGTCGACCACAACCCTTATCGGCAGGTAGGATATTGGATGGTACTCCATCTCTAATAGGTACATCTCCTCAGTTATCTGCCATGAGGATTGGAGATTCTAGTAGCGAGCAGTCAGATGCTATGGCCGGTACGCCTCTATTGACTCAGCATTTTGTGCATCCTGGTGTTTCACCTTCATCTACAGCTGCACCTAGTGCTACACCAGATGATGAGATGCCTGCTCTAGCTCCTGGCCTGAAGGACAGACTTGGTAGAGGCATGATTGAGCCGGATAGATCATCGTAAGTTTGTTTGTTATCTATTTGTTACTTTATTTTATTTATTTCTTATACTTTAATATATTATTCATGAACAAACATATTTATTATGTGTTTTACAGGTGGCATCCTGCAAATGATACTGCCTAGGCTTTAAAAGACTGTGTTGGAAGAATTTTTACACAGGCTTATCACTCTTGGAGCGAGATTCCAAACAGTATACGCCAGGCGATGTTTAATGAATTTAAGGTATATATTTTTAGTTAAGTTTTATAATTTTAGTAAACTTTACTTTTTTTTCCTATCGATCTAATTAACGTTATTCAATTTTTTTCAGACTGTGTGTACTTGGGAGACGAGGTACAATATGGTCATTGCGACCACATTTGAAAGGAGGGCATCCGCGAGACTTTCTAGCTGGCTAAAGAAAGTTCGAGATACTGATCAATGTTTGGGTTTGATGTTGCCTCATGTTTTTGATGAATTACGTCAGTATTGGAATTACACAGATAAGTTTAAGGCAATGTCCGAACAAGCCAAAAGGTCTAGAGGCAGTCTTAAGGGTGGCTCGTTGCACACCGGAGGTGCAAAGACCGTTGGAACAATTACAAGAGAGATGGTTAGTTCTAATTCAAACTTTTAAATAAATAATTAGTTGATTCATATATATCATTATAAATTTCAGTTTTTATTTATAGGAAAAAGAAATGGGGGCGCACTCCCATTGGACCGGAGGTTTTCAAGAAGACTCATGTGAAGAAGAAAGAAAATGAGTCGGATTCGGATGTGTGGGTGGAGGAAAGGGCCGAACGAACTTTTGTAAGTTATTTAATATGAATAATATATATTAATAATGAATATATTTATGATATGTATATATATTGATGTCAATTTTTTATATTTAATATGCATAATGAGTTTAATCAGTACGTCACTGAGAATCTAGATAGTTCGGTCCAAATGACACCTAAATTGTCCACCCAAATTTGGATAGAAAAAGTAGTAGGGGGGATACACAAGGGTAGAGTCTATGGTCTAGGCTCTCGAAACGATGTAAGATGACTCCAGTCAGGCTTACTAGGTATTGGATCGTCACATCAAGCCGAGGCACTTGACGGTGTTCAAATTGCTGTTGTGTCTGCTCAAATAGCACAACTTACATTGACACTGGCAGAGTTGAAGCGAGGAAGAGTAGCTGAACAACAAAGCATGAGTGCGACCGTTTAGCAAATCAAAGAACAAGTGCTGAACCTCGCTCATCGACCTACTACATCTTCGGCTCCCAAGGACACCGATGACGACAATGAGGAGGAGAATGATGATTTTGTAGATCGCACTCACTAGTTTAGGTCTCTTTTATAAAATTTTTGAAACACATTTTGAATGATTTTATAAGTTTTTGTATTGTGATTTAGATATTTTTGAAGATTGATTTAAGTTTTATGTTTTATATGTTGTGTGTGATGTTTAGATTATATTGTTTGATTGGCCTGGTTGAATATGAATTAAATTGATTTATATTTGCAGGTAGGCAGAAGATTCTGCTGTCAAAAAATTGCAGAAAAAAGTGACAGAAAGGGTGGTTTTGTCCGTCGCTGTTGCGTTATTTTTTGGCGGAAAGACCTGGGAGGCCCCTGTACTTGGTTTCGTTTATCAGTTGAACCCTTCTACTCATCGCTTTACCAAATGAACCCTTAAACTCAATGAAACTCTATTTTTTAAACCCCTCTGACCATTGACCGAGCTTATGTGGCACTGAAATGGCTTAGTTGGACAAATACGTAACCCCACACGTTTTGAAGCAAGTGAATACAATATTTTTAATTTAAAATTATCAAAATTATACGACAAAACAATAATAATAATTTTTTTTAAAAAAAATACAAAAAACGTCCTTCTTCTTCACTACACCCCACCTCGCCCCACTCCCAACCCTTCTTTCTTGTTCTTCAGCCCCACTCCACCCCACCCTCTTCTTTGATGTACCACATTATCACAATAAAATCATCAAATAAAAAATTGAGAAAAGCTTTTTGCAAAAAAATATACCATTCACCATTTTTATAAACTTAATTCTTTAAGATCTACTACTTGAATTTACATATAAATATATTTTTTTCAATTTGAAGTTTTCTTGATATCTCTTTTTATCAAATAAAAAAATAGAACCATAAAGCATGTGCAAGAACTAATTATAATCTATCACATTTTGTGATTGAAGAAATTTTTGATTGTGAACTATGAAGAAAGATGAAAATGGTAGAGAGAGAGAGAGAGAGAGAGAGAGAGAGAGAGAGAGAGAGAGAGAGAGAGAGAGAGAGAGAGAGAGAGAGAGAGAGAGAGAGAGAGAGAGAGAGAGAGAGAAAATTGCATTTTTTCAAATATTATTTATTTTTAAATATTTAATTTCTGATGTTTCATTAAAATAATAATAATAATAATGATGTGTCATTAAAAAATGACGTGGTATTTCATGTGTAAAATGAGTGTACTACACCCACACCCATCAGATGAGAGAGGGGTCTAAAATATTGTGTTTGAATGAGTTTAAGGATTTAGTTGGCAAAGTCGTAAGTACAAGGATTCAACTTACAAATCGAGTCAAGTACAATGGCCTCTCAGGCCATTCCGCCTTATTTTTTTCAAATAAACCCAGAAAAGTGACAGACAGGGTCCTTTAGTCCGTCGCTTTTTCTGGGTATTTAAAAAAATTAATTTCCAGAAAAGCGACAGACAGTTTCTGGGATTTTCAAAATATAAATTTCCAGAAAAGCGACGGATTGCGTCGCTTTTTGGAAATAAAAAATAAATGAAAAATATAAAAAAAGCGACGGAGTCTGTCACTTTTTTTTAAAAAAATAATCAAAAAGCGACGCTGTCCACCGCTTTTTGAAAAGCGTCGAGCCAAAAAGCGACGAACATGATTGCGTCGCTTTTCCGTCAATTTTGAAACAGAAGATATATTTATCCCAAAGGAAACAAAAGATAAATTTATCCCAAAGGAAAAACAAAAGTTAAAGATGATCATTTATTGATCAAAGTCACTGAGACAACACTTACAATACAACACAACAAAGGACAAATAGCATTTCCTGGAGCACCAACCATATGCATCAGGCTTCCACTAAACTTTCTCCGGGATAGTATGTGCTTTTCACCTTAGAGTTGGAACCGGGATAGTAGTTCGTTCAGCTTCCCTTTTATTATCGTAACAACCAGTAGTGTTAGTACTCAAATTAAACTTATTTTTTCTTAATGGGTATCCATAATCAATGCCTTAAAAGGATTTTTAATAACACTTACAGTTGCACATGAGTCCAAATGTTGTGTAGAAGCACCTATTTGAACATCTTGATCATTAGATACAGCAGCCTTCAACTCCATTCTACATCATAAGTCAAACTCTTTACACGATATTATCCCACTTCCTGATGCATTGGAATTTTTCAGTAACTTTATTACTTGAAGATTTTTCACATGTGATGTTGGTATTCCTTGAAAGATTTTCAAAAACTTGAAAAAACTGAGATATAGGATAACATGCATATGGTACAGAGGTTGCCAAATCTTTTGCCCATCATATCAGAGAGTCAACACTCCGATGTATATTTTAAAGAGAGACTTTCAGTTAAATCCATTTATACTCACATATTTCCGCAGGGTAAGAGAACTCAAGACTTTTCACACATACTGCTTAAAACCTACTTAAATAACGGGATATTATTCCGGGCAAGGATCTTAAGCTCGTCCCCTCCCCTCATATCTTCAGCATATTCCTAAATCTTCATAGAGAAATCTTCAAGTTGAGGGCTCTCTACAAGTTTGATAATTTTCAATGAACAAATACCCCCGAAACTAGGCGGAATCTCCTGATCTTGCAGCTCACATGCACCATTACTTATTGAACAAGAAGACATCCAAAGATATTGCATCGTCTCCAGCCTTGCAGCACTGACCAACAGAGCCTTGTCGTCACCGAAGGGGCTGTCTCTGGTCTCCACCTTACAATGGCTTTCAAAACCAGAGTGGAGGCCTAGATTACATTCCCCACTGGAGAGCATCTTTAGCTTTTTAGCATGGGCCAGATGTAATGAAACACGTGATCCATAAGGACGCCAGAAAGGAGAAGTCGCCGTAATCCCTTGCAGTGATGGATGATGGCCTCATAACCAGCATTGAGCTTTTCAGGGGTTAGGTAATCAGAAGTTGGAGGCTTGAGTAAACAAAAACGAAATTGGATCAACTTAGAACAGTTCCTTGCAATCACAACCATGGCGGCAAAAGAATAGAACCGAGTGGAGCCAGCTGAGAAAGCAACAAGGCCTCTCTCCGTCAAGGATACATCTGGTTCTTGCACATAAGGAAATTCCCTAATTAAGTTCTTCAAGGTAAGGTCCTTACAATAGTTGTCCATCTTCAATATAATCTAGCACCTGCAGCCGCATTCAAATACGTGAGTGTATGGTGGACCAGATGTATAAATGGAACCCAAAAGATGGAAACAACATAACTTTGAACATCTTGATCATTAGATAGAGCAGTCTCTCAACTCCAAATGCTTATCAATGGTGATTCTTTGTGCACGTGCATTATACATCACAATTCAAACTCAATGCAGGTGAATATCTGACGTCTCGATAACTTCATTGCTTGAAGAGTTTTCACATGTTTGTGATGATGGTATTTCTTGAGAGATTTACAAAAACAAAGATATAAGATAACTTTCATATAGAACCTTTTGTTTTCTTCTCCATCATAGCAAAGTGTTGAACAATAGCAATACTTATTCACGTGATACTTATTGAGACTTCCAAACCAACACAACAAAGGACAAAATAACATTTCTTAGAACACTAACCATATGCATCAGGCTTCTACTATACTTTCTACATTGAGCTTGAAATCGCCCTACGCATAGTATGTTCTTGTCACCTTAGAGTTGGAACCACCATCTGGTGACTGCTCAAACTTCACCTCATTAAGTTATGTTTTCGAGTTTTTCTACCAAAGCTCAACAATCCTATACTTAATGGACTTAAAGTTGCCACCTTCAGAAAAGAAGCCACGGTTAGAAGAATATTAGTGATTAAAATGAGAGTCTATCAAAAATTCAAAAAGAATTAACTATGATGAAGAATGTTGTATAGAAGGACCTATTTGAACATCTTGATCATAACATAAAACAGCCTTCAACTCCAAATGTTTATTGATGGCTGATTCTTGGTGCACGTGAATTCCACCATGCTGCAACACAATTAGAACTTTTTGCATGCAAAGATCCCACTGCTTGCTGCACTGGAATTTCTCGGTAACTTTATTACCTGAGAGTTTTCACATGTTTGTGATGATGGTATTTCTAAAAAAATTACAAAAAACTTGAAAACACTGAGGTATAGGATAACTTGCATATGGTACAGAGGTCGCCAACCTTTTGCTTGACTTCCTTCTTGTCCATCATATCAGAGAGTCTGTAATCCTACTAGGAGGTGAACTAAGCATGGCGGAGGAGCTGGGGGCAGTAGGGAAGGGTTCTGCATTTTGATGGGGACACATAAAGTTTGTGGGAAAGAAAGAAACTTTTATTATTTATGCTTCAGATTATGAACTTTCGAATAACAATTCCTTAAACATATGTATCACATTTTGTATTTTAAGGCCAATATAAGTTTTTATATGCATGACGTACCGTTTTCTTCCTCCTTCATTTTCCTTTCTTCTTTCCATGATTGTACTTTCCAAGAGTCAATACCAAAGGATCTGATAAATAAAGCGTGCTTAAAACTTTATCAAGGTCATAGAAGGAAACAATTCTACAGATATAGTCAGACATATAAAACGTCATTTTCGATATATTGATCAAATGACGCTTACAAAACATTATCCCACAATGTTAATTTAGACAAACAAAAAAAGAGAAGAAGAGTAGTTTCTCAAATATAGTCAAACTTGTTTATAACAATGATATTTCTACTTAGTATTAAAAAACAGACAGTTCATTTGAGACTTTCATCATAGACATTGTAGACATCTTTTAACATTTGCCACTACAGGAATCAGAACAACAAAAGAATGGAGGTGAACCTGTTCACATATAATGCTACTTAAATAATGGCATATTCTTCCCAACGACTTGAAGCTCGTCTCCTCCCCTCATATCTTCAGCATATTCCTTAATCTTCACAGCTGAATCTTCAAGTTGAGGGCTCTCTACAAGTTTGATAATTTTGAGTGACCAAATATCCCCAACACTAGGCGGAATCTCCTCAAGATCACAACATCCCTGCAGTTTTAATTTCTTAAGCTTGGGAAAGGATTCCTCTCCAACCTCCCACTTGGAAAAAGTCACTCTATGCAACTTCAAACATTTGAGATTCTCAAAGGTGTCTTCCTCCCCCTGAATGATTGTATAATAAAGGAACAACTCTTCAAGGTTGGGCAGTCTGGCTATTGTTGATAGTGAATCAGATGTCAGAGGAAAGTCATACAACCACAATTGTTTCAAACTCGAAGGGAAGTGAAAATCCCATGGACGATTTTTGGCTGCAGAGGACCCACTATCATTTGTGTTTGATCTTTCAAAATCTACAATGAGGTCTTCTAGTTCAGTTAGGAAATCAAATTTTGGGAACCAATAATGCTCTGTTGAATAATCCCATGATTCCTTGAGTTCAAATGAAAGATCTTGAAGATTGGGAAACCTTTTGAAAAATATCCTCTGTATCTTTCGAATTAGGAAAGCATGAGTTTCCCTAATATTCTCAAGTTCTCTAACTTTGTGTCCTTTGCTATCAGTACTGATTCATCTGCATCCATATCAAAGAAAGAACAAGCACTCACGGCCAACAGTCACAACTTCACAAGATCCCAAATTCTCGGTAATAGTACCAAGGTTTATCCTTCGTTATTCACGGACATGCTTTCTAGATTCCAGAGGTTTGAGAAAGAAAAAGGAAGAGATTCAACTTGTGTCCCAAGGAATAAGAACCTCAAATAATTCAACATGCATATTTCATTCAGCAAAGAATCTTTCACATTGATATCCAGGTACAACACTGTAAGAAGCCTCAAGTGGCTTAGGTGACATGCATCAAAGACACAATCGTCAAGCTTATCTCCATTTATCCTCAAAGAATATAGGTGTTTACCAGAATGCCATTTCTTATTTGAACCGAACAGGTAAAAATTAAGCCCAAAGTGCTCCTCATCATTAATGGTAATTTGACGTGGTATAAAATCTGCTGGAGCACTTGAGATTATCAAATCAAACAACTTTTCCTCTCTTGATTTTATCAAACAAAAGTCATGCACAAGATCATGAATTTAGCAAGTCGGGTTATCACCTATTTCATTGAAACAAATTACCAAGCTACTGGTAATTAAATCAGCCAAATAAATCTTCACCACTTCTTCTATACTCTTCATTTATGTCTTTTCCACAAACCCTTCAGCAACCCATACAACTTCAACTCACAGATTGTCGTTGCACAGTCTTTCGGCTTACTTGCAAAATGAAGCAAGCATGGCTTCAGGTGATTCGGTAAGTGGTCATAACTTATTTCTACAACTTTCATCACTTGCACTTCATTATTGAAAATAAAGGAATGGAAATTATTTAGAACTTCAAGCCACACAGTCTTCTTCTTTTCCCTCCCAGCAATGACTCCAGCAATCAGATCCACCACCAAAGGAAGCCCTTTACAATTTTCGGCTATTTCTTTACCAACATCCAATACTTCATCAGGGCAACTCTACTTTCCAAATGCCCTTTTCTCTAATAACTTCCAACTTTCTTCTGGTCTTAACAATCGAAGGTTAAGAGGATCAGTGTAGAGCTTTCTATGCAAAGCCACTTCCTTTTCTCGAGTTGTCATAATAATTCTACTTCATTTCATAACTTCTGGAAAAGGTCTTGTTAACTCATCCCATGTACTAGTATCCCACATGTCTTCTAAGACAATATGATACCTCTTTCCATACATTTGTTTCTATAGCTTATCAACAACATCAATGTTCTCACTCATTTTGAATCCAAATTACTAACTTGATTAAATATTTTATCCAACAACTTTTTCTCATCATATCCTTGGTCGACCGTGCACCATGCACGAAGATCGAAATGGATAGAAACTAATTTATCATTGTATACTTTGTACGCCAAAGTAGTTTTACCTGAACCCGGCATACCAGTGATCGAAATGACATCTAGATCTGCCGGTCCACTGCTGAGCTTTCTAAGTATCAAGTTTTTCTCCTCCTCAAAACCTACAATTATTTTATCAGTTGTCAATGACTTGCTCCCAACTGGTTTCTTGGGAAAGTTCACAATGATGAGACCTCTGTTCTTGGGAATCTTCTCATTTAAATTAGAGACCTTTTCTTTATAAGCTTTATTTTCTTTATGGTAATGGGAAGTGATAAAATAATATGTAGAGACCTTTATCTCAAACAATAAATGAACCAATGACATCTATTGCCTCAATGCCACAGTTAAAACACATGCCCATAGATCTTTATACAACTCTTCCTCAAAATTCGCGAAAAAAGATCTCATGAATTCTAGGATTTGTTTCACCTGCCCAATTTCTTTCTTTATCAAAGCAATTGAATAAGCATTAAAATCCAACAAAATATCTAAGTGTCTCTGTAGCAAATACATGAAGAGAGTTCCATCACTCATGGGGAAGCAACATTGAGATGAATCCGGGACTTTCAAATAAACATGCTTGAGTTCTTCCTTGAGGAGTTCAATATCTTTTAGCAAGTCTAGTGTTGTACGATTTGTATCATTGGTACTCTCTTTCTTCATTGATTTCTCTTCTAAGTCCCAAACAAGATTTGATACCTCCCTGGTAAGTGCTCCAACACGTGACAAGAGATCAAAAAATGTGTCATGAAGAATCAAGTCGGTAGGCATGTCAGTAAGAATAATCAACAGGAACTCTATCAGATCATGACGTGAATGTTTCGAGCTCCTGAAATGCTTGGGTTGATTATAGTTACCATGTGCTCTTGTAGATGAGTCAGATATTCTCTAAGAATGTCTGTAAAGGTTTCCAGAAGTTGTTTGATGAAGCATCCAACTTCTACTGACGTTGACAATTTCAAATTTGTATAACGTATGTGCATAACCTCCTATTCAATTGGAACAATCTTCCAGAGTAGATGTTCTAACATGACGAGGTGAGAGTGTTTATCAGTCTGACCATCCTCATCTAGATCAGAGAGTCCAAAATGTTTATGCCACTTCCAAAGAAAGACTCCCACTCTCTCAGCCTTGAGTTGAAATTGAGGTAAGAAATATTCAACACTCTCATGCTCAATGCAACCATTCACTATCAACCCATCGAGATATCTTATGTTGCCACACATATTCTAAAGAATCTCATATTGAGTCAGTAATGGAAACTTGTGCTC